GGCCTTTCTGGTATGTGGGGAGACATTTGAGCCAAGCTGTGGCTGCATCTGTTCCAGTGTTAGGCATAGCTCCAAGAATATCTCCTCAAGATGGAGGAGTTGACTGGAGAGCAAAGATGACCAGACCTAGAAGTGACTAAGGAGGAAAGACAGGCTCTCTATGGCTTGAGGATGGATGTGTGTACTCTGTGTGTCCCTTCCCACCCCTCCCTCCCCACAGCCTTTTCTGCAGAAAGAATTGCTTTCCATATGTGTGGTGGTAAGATAAGCAGAAGCTTGAACTCTGAGTGTAATTTTAAGAGGTGTTGAAGGACTTCTCAAGGGGAGTGAAGCCCCGATGGGGCATTTTTGTGACCTGTTTATCACTTCTTTTGTAGTTTAGGTAGTGCTGATCCTGTGTTACAGCAAGGGATGAGCTCCAATTTCTGGATGTTTTTCCTGGCATCTTGTTTGTGGCCTGAATATGGCAGATGGAGGCACAAATTACTCCTCTCTAGCTATTTTCTGGGACAGATGTTGAATGTTGCAGTGTGAGGCTGGCTGAAGTCAGCTGGTGGTATCTGTCTTGTCCCTATGGGCAGGAGATGTTTGTAGTGGTGTGGCTAGACTCCTTTCCAACTGTGAGCTAATGTGGCTCTAGAAACAACTGTGTGTCTTCCAGTAAAAGCCTCCCTTGCTCTGCTTTTCTAGCCCAGTGTTGGATGTCTCGGTGTCTCCATTCCCTCTTTCTCAGTGGCCTCGGCAGAAGTTGTACTGTTTTTGAGAGGTGACATTTTTTTTCTCCAGAAAAAGTGGCTCCCTCTTGTGGAGAGTGCTTTGACTTGACCTGTTGGGTTACAGTCCTCTGAGGCAACCCTCAATGGCCTCTTGTGCATCTGGTTTCCTCTTGCAAATGGCACCAGGAGCCCTCTCATCAGTGCTTCTCTACTCCTTGGCTAAAGCAAGGTGCTTAAGACACTTTGAAGGTCATGCAGAGAATACTGTCTTGGCAGGCCCCCACTGTCTGAAACATGTCCTCTAAGTTCCTCTTGGCCAGGTGCTGCCTCTAATCTGGTTCCTCCAGTGCTTTATACTGGCTTCTAAAGCAACTCTCCTAGTGAGGGGACATTCCTGTCTTAACCCTTCAAGCCCATAATCTTTTTATGGGTTGAAAGACCTGGCAGGTTATTCCTCACCCTGCAAGCCTTTCAAAGCTTTGGCCTGTACCCAAGATCACTGCATCTGCATGCATTCCTGACAGCCTCTACACTGAACTCCTCTGGCTGCTGCTGGGCTTGTGCTGGGAGGAGCACCTGGCTGCTGTTGCCTCTGCACAGCAGAGTGGAAGCAGGGAGCATGGTGGGTGGGGTTATCGTAAGTCGGGCTGGCAGGGTTGTGTGTGCAAGCATCAGAGACCTATGGGAGGAAGGCAAGGAGAAGTGGTCCAGCAGCAGTGGAGGTCTATTAGTGCCAGAGTTGAGAATATGTGGCTTAGGAGAAAAGCAAGACTGTGGTTGAAAGTGGAGGTGCTGGAGGCTCTGGCTAGGCTTGGGGTAAGGGGTGCATGTGGGGCAGCAGCTGGCTCACCCAACTGAGACCTCCTGAGTTAGGCCAGTAAGAGCTGCTAGGCTTGGAGTGGGGTGTGGGGAATTGTTGTCTTGCAGATGTGCTGTGAACAGCTGCTGTGCCTGCTTATATAAGCTATGCTGCTTGCACTGAGCCCAGGGCGGACGGCGTGGGACAGGCTGCTCTCAGGGTTAAGCACTCACAGCCTAGTGAATGAATAGGGAGTTTCCTGTTGCTGCTGGGCAGGAGGAAACTAATTCCAGCTGTCAAGAGGAGGGGTGTCAGAGAGGGAGATGTCGGCCAGGGAGGAGGGCTGCAGCCCACTGGCTGCTGAGGATATATGGCTCGGCTGAGCAAGCATCCTCCCTGGTGATAGAGTTGGGGGGAAAAGCGACCCCTGTCCTGGCACTGGCTGGGGCTGTGGGGGGGCCCCCCCCCCCCCGGCTGTGAGCCTTTCTGGCCTGTATCACTGCAAGGAGATACCATGCTGGAGAGCAGTGTGGTATTCCCAGGCAGGGGAGTGAGGCTGCAGCTGAGCTGGGTCTCTCTTGCAGGTAGGCAGTAGCTAATGGAGAAGTGAAGGGGTGGTGTACATGGCACCAAGATAGTGCTTTGTAGTCATGGCACTCAGTAGAACCTGCACCTGTCACTGGGGAGGAGGGACTTAATATCCATGTCTCAGCTTTCCTCCATCCAAGGTTAAAACTGTCTGGGATCTACCTAGCTGTTTTGTCATGGAACCAACTCTTGCTTGTGGGGCTGACTGGGGAGCGGGGCCAGCTAGGAGGTGACTTGGTGGCATGTGCTTACCTTGTGAAGATGTCAGGCAGGGAGTCCAGCTGATCCAGTGTGCCTGGTTAGACAGCTGCCTTGCGTGGAGTGGGTGCCTCTACAACAGCCTGGAGCCTGGGATCTAGTAAATCTCATCTACCTGATGAGAGACTCCTATGAGGGCAGAGCCTGTGGAAATGTAAGGTCCATTCTGGGCTTTTTTCCCTCTTGAAAGTGTCACCAGCTGTGAGCATCACAGCCCTTGTGCTGGCATGGCCAGTGGATAGAGGACTTGGCTGGTTGTTGAAAGCATCTGTGTCTTCTGGGAGGCAATGCTTTTTGTTCCCCCTCCCCCTCCCCAATCCCCCTCCTCCTGCAAGGAGGCTGTGGTATCAAGATCTCAACAATTACTGCATCTCTGTTACAGGAGCAAGTGCAAAGCCTCCAGCTTCTCCATTAGGTGATAGATCACCTCTGCTTCAAGGGGTAAGGAGAGTAGGGTTTGAGGGGACCCTTGAGGATACATCTGGCTTGGAGAGTAATCCAAGGGCTAATATGGAGCCTTGGAGTGTTCTGTGTTTAGTTCTGGCTCCTCTGAAGACCTATGCCCCAGCTTTGGAAGGTCTTGTGCAGCTGTGGTCTCTGTGGCCTGGGTCTGTCTCTCCACTACTGAACTTCCCTGCCAGCATCCAGTGGTGGTGTTCCGCATCAAGACTCATGTTGCGTGTACCATCCAGTCTATCTGTCTGGCAGCTCACTGGCTGCTAAGTAGTTGAACAGTCAGCTCATGTTCCTGTCCTCTCAACCTGTGGTGGGTTTCTTGATGTTTTTTTGCACACTTACAGCTTGCATGGGAGACCTGACTGGCAAGGAGGAGGCTGGCAGGATCACTCTTGCTGGTGTTACAGTATTGCACAGCCATGTAGGGGTTAGATGAACTCTAAAGTTGGTGCCACGCTAGATGCCTGGCCTGTGACTGTAACTCTCCCATTCCTCAAACTGACCTGGGATCTTGTCTCAAAGTCTATCTGTCCCCAGCTGGGCGTCCTTCCTCAATGGGAGAATACAATACACTGGGGTTTGGAAAGACTGTAGGTGTGTTTTGTTTTTAATCCCCTCTTCTCTGACCCTGGAGTGGTACGTATGCTTGGAAAGGGAGCATTCTAGCCAGGATTGTCCAGGGTGGTCTGGTAAGGGGAAGAGTTCATAGTGAGCTCTAAGGGGTTTTTCTGCCTCTTCCCTACTCATCTTGGGACAAACTTCTCCCTTCTGCTGGTCTCCCCCCAAATGTACCTGCTGTTCTTGATGTCTGCCTGCTCTGAGGCTATATTCTCTTCCCACCAGCTGGGGAGGGAGGAGAAGGGGAGGGCAGCTGTTTCTGCTCTCTGTGCAAACAGCAGCAGGACTGAGCTCCACTATCTGCTTCTGCTGTTGGATATGTGCTCAGTCAAGTGGCACAAATTCATCTCCCGCTGCTCTGAGATATGAAGCTGCTAACTCAGCCCAGCCTGACATACCAATCTTGTGGACTGAACAGGAGCATCTGGATGTCTGATGCTATTCAACTGGATGTTGCCTACTGCTGCATCTACTGACAGGCTGGAGAGTGTCTGTTCAGTTACTGTTCTCATGTCTGCTCTTCAGGGTCCCAACTAGCAGTCCTTCCTCAGCAAGGAGCAGGCCTGAGCAGTAGATGCTGCAGCAAAGACCTGCCAGGGAAGCCTCTGAGTCTTGCAGGTTTTCAGCTCTTCCAAATGTCCCTGTCATCTAGCCGAGTAGAGGTTTGCTTGGGTCCCCTTCTGATGGCTGGGTTGTGGCTTAGAAAACTTCATGGGCTTCTCTTGGGGCAGATGAGCCAGTTCCTACCTTTTGTGTGTCATGGGGAAGTTGTCTGGCCTAAGTGTGGTGTCTTGTGGTGCTTCCCATATTGACCAAGGGCAGGGCAGCCACCACCTCAGGGTGATGCGTGCCTCCCATGAGCATCCTTCATCCTGCCTGAGCCTGAATGGGGGAAAGCTGTGAACTTGGGATGTATGGGGGATAGGGACCATGCTGGGAAACAGCCCATGCCTTTGACGTGATAAACTTCATATATGGCTTGGTGGTGAGGAGTTTTTCTAGCCTGAATGTTGTCATTCTGCATTTGTTTTGAGGCTGTGGCCAGTCACACGTGCTTTCTGCGCAGGTGCTCTGGCATCAGTCTTGGTAGGGCCCTTGGGAATGGGGATTTTCTCCTCCATCTCCTATGGCCAGGCCTGTGACTTCCCCTTTCACCTCTCCAAACTCCCAGGGGTAGCTCAGTGCTGTCGTACCAGTGGCAGCCAGGTTTGAAGCGGGGGACTGCGTTCTGGTTATGCCAACAGGCAGAAAGTACCTGGGATGTTGAGGCAAGCCCTACGGCTTGTGTGATCCCACAGTGCTCCTCAAGGGAGCATTTGGCCACGTCTTGGTGTGCGGGGAGCCTGAGTCTCCCAGTGTCCCAGTGCCTGGAGCAGGCCAAAGCATGCAGAGCGATGTGGCCTGGGGTTGAGTGCTGCCCTAGAAAACCCTGGTTCCTCCTTCCCTGCATCAAAGAAGTCTCCGCCCTACATACCTATACCTGTATGGCACAGGGGAGCCGAAGGGCTGGGCTCTGGCCGGCGTGACCCCCGCTCACGGATCTCCGGTGTGGCTTTCTTTTCCAGATGCGCTGGTATCCTCCCTCTGAAGCTACCCAGCAAGGATGGAAGTCTCGTCAGTTTTGTTAGTTCGTTAGTAAGTAATTAACTGCCCTTGGAGCCAGGTCCTTGTCTGGCTGGTCCTTGGGTTTCTGGAGCTCCTGTGGGGAGGAGGGAGGGGAGCATGGCTGCCAAGGACATGCTCGCTCGAGGATGTGGCCCCACTCACCACCGCTCCTCTCCTGCAGAGTCTCTCCTAGGCTCGTGTTCCTCCTTCCTGCCTCTCCACGGAGGGATGTGCCAGGGACGATCGCTCAGACTCCTTTCGGTTTGGTTTGCGGCCAGGGGACGAGGCGCCCGCGGGGCTCCCCCTCCCCGGACTGCGAAGCCGTGGCGGGGCCGCCCGCGCTGCCTCTGGTTTTTCCCCCTCCCCTTCCTGCTCCATGCCCAGGACGGCTTCCCCGACTCGGCTTCGCTGTCCAGCCGAGCCAAAACCCAGCCGGAGGGCTTGCTCCTGGGCTCCCCGGCGAGAGCCTGGTGCCGAGCGAGGCCTTGCCGCCTCCCCTGGGCCTGCCTTGCCCCGACCCCTCGTGCAGCTCGGCTGAAGGAAACGAAAGGCAATTGGTTTTGCATGTTTTCTGGCATGAATTAAAACACTTAACTTGTGTATGTGTGAGTGTAAGTTTGTTTGTTCTAGCGTTTGTGTAACCGTAGCAACAGGTCTTGGCCCAATGATTGATCCATCAAGGTTTTCATCTTGCTTCGGTGAAGACTTGGCTTTTGAGAAATACTAACTGTCCTTGTCTCACCCCTTCTTCCACCTCCGCTGCCCTCCCCCTTTCCAGTTCGACCAGAAGAATTTGAAAAATGTTTTTTTCTTTTTTTTTTTCTTCAAGTACGATGCACTGGGTTTCTGTTCTCATCCATTCTTCTCCGGTTTTAAAGTCAGGGTTATTATATTATTTTTCTTCAGACTTCTATATATAGAACGGCTGTAAGATATCTAACTTTTTTCCTTTTTTTTTTTTCACATCCCTCTGATTGGAGAGAATCCAGTCCTGCCAAATAATCAGCCATCCTTATGGGAATACCGAACAAAAAAAAGTACGAGTATTTTTGTACCATGTGTAATAAGGAAATATTTATGCATCATAAAGAATTTCTTGTGTGTTTGTGTGCAATTAATTATTATTATTAAAGAGAAATTGTAATCCTGTAAGATAAGTTAATGTTTAGTTTAAAAAGCTTGAAAGAGAAGGATTGTCTTCTGTAACAATGATTCAGACAGGCATAGTAAACAAGAAATTGTGCAATTTTTGTTTTAGCATCTTATTGCTTGGTATTGAAATGCTTTAAGTATTATACGACCATGGCTGTCTCGCTTGTATTAAAAGAGTTGAGAATAAGTTGCTATAATTGCTGATCCTATGAGAATGTGAAACTGGATAATATATGAAATGCAAAAAAAAAAAAAAAAAACAATATATATATACACAGAGGCTGCTTTGACTCTTTTCTGTAGTCTCTTCTTCCAGGGCTGGGTTTTGGGATGCTGCAGCCCTTGACCCTTGCATGTACAGTGCCATGTTGGGGCACCTTCCCCCCAGGAGGCATGGGGAGTCCTTTCCTGCAGACGGTGCTGCTAGGTTTGCCACTGAAGGAGAGGCAGTAGGATGCGGTGGGGAGGCTGCAATGGCAGGCAGGGGTGTGTGGGGGTTTGTTGTGTCCCGTCCCCCCCCCCAAAAAAGGCTGCGTTAGAAGCTGAGGGCCTCTCCTCAAGGCCAGGACTGTTCCTCCCAGTGCGCAGCAGAGTAAGGCGATGCCCATAGAAGGGAAACATCCTTTGCAGCCCAAGCATCGTGCCTCACTGCTGAGCTCCTCCTCCAGCTCAGGGTGAGTGCCCCGGGGTGCGGAAAGGAAGCAGCCCTGGCTCCTGATGAGCCCGGGGGTGGGGGGGGAGGTCCCTGGCTGCTGCCTTGTTTTGTAGCCTTAGCTATACCTACTTAAAACAGCTGTGGGAACTAGGGCCCTGGGGCTGAGGGACCATCCTACTACTGGTCCTGAAATCAGATGGGATGAAACCAGGGCCATATGTTACAGCAGGAGCTTCCAGCCCGGGGCTGTTACACTACTGGCAGCTTGTTAAAATTGCTTGAGGGGTGGCCCATGGTTGTCCCCTTGTCTGGCTGTGTGAGAGCAGCTCTTTCTCTCCCCCATCCATGCCAAATTGCCTCAAGTGTGGTGAGGGGAGGTGCCCTGGGGCCCTCTAAGACCTGGTGCCATCCTTGGGTACAGCCTGCCCCCTTCCCTTCATAAACAGATGTAGAATGGTCTTTCTGCTGCGGTTGTGTTGCAGCTCATGATTGGGGCCCTCTGCTGCTTGCTCTCAGGTGAGGTGGTGTACTGTTCCCAGGGGCTTGTGCTGACAGCCAGCATAGCTCTCAGCTGAGACCTGGAGAACTCATGACTTCAGTGGGTGCTGGTGCTGGTTGTGAGTGCAGCTGCCCTCTGTGGACTGGCCTTGCTCCTTGCTTTGGGCTGTGCCTGCTGACGTCTTCAACCCGCCTGCACGGCTTCCCACCCTCGGGGTTTAGTGTTTTCCTCTCTCCCCAGCACTTCGTGGGCAGTGCAGGGTTGCTTAGCAGAGGCGAGGAGCAAAAAGAGAGGAGAAAAGAAAAAAAAGTTCTAAAAATAGCCCTGCAGGCCAATGTGCCTGGGAACGGACTCGTGAGGTCTGCTGCTCAGGGAACTGTCTCGCAGCAGGGCTGCGGGCTGCCTGAAAGGCAGTGGGGATGCGTGCTGGGAAAGGGGAGCTGGCAGAGGGCTGGGGTTTGCTTGCCATGATGCTTCCCCATCACCCAGCTCCCGTGCCAGGCCCTCTCCTTGCCCCTGACCAAACCTGGGATCCTGTTGGGGTGAGTCGGCCGTGAGGTGGGTCTCCCACACGCTGCCTGCCAGCTCCAGCTGCATCTCACAGCTTTGCTCACCTAAGCGGAAACACCCCTGGAGAGCAGCCGGGGCCCGGCAATGGGAACGTGCAGGGCTTTAAATTATAAAGGAGATTAAAAAAAAAAAAAAACCCTTTAGCACATGCATTAACATGGCCAGGCAATGAATAATTTATGTCTGTCTCTATTAAGCTTTTACACTGGGACACGCACAGCACAACTCGCCTTGGAGCTAAAGTAGGTCACGTCTGCTCCAAGGGTCCCTGGGCATCCCTCTCCCTGCCTGGTGTAACCATGTGCAAGCGAGGCAGCAAATGCATGGTGTGCGCACGTGTGCATGCATTTGCTGCCTCAGTCCCTCTGTGTCCATGACCATGTGGGAACACAAGCACCCCTTGCTGTGGGGCTGGCTGTGGAGCATATCCCAGCCGGAGGGAGGTGTGAGTGTGTGCGGGGGTGTGTGTGTGTGCGTGCACATGTGTGCAATGTCCTTGCTCAAACCAACCATGGAAAACCATCCTTAGAGGAAGCACTCTGCAAAGGCCAGTCTGGTCTGTTCCCCAAAGAGAAGGGCACTTGGTACGCATGCCCTCCCATGTCTGCCCTGGTCACTCCTCATGATGACAAACCGGTGCATAGTTTCGTCTCCTTCCTTGCCGTGCTGGGTCTGGGCTGTCACAGTGAGGAGGAGTGGGGCTGGTTGAAAAAAGGTTGCTCAAATAATTTCTCACCTCAAAAAACCACTTCATCAGACCCAAATAGGATTGTGTGTAGGATCATCTCACTTTTCAGTGGGAAAGGGGATGCCTGAGCTCTGCCAAGGACCAGAGCCCGTGAACTAGGCTCATGAGATGAGATGTAGTGGCTGCCCAGATTGGGTCTCTGGAGTCCCTCAACCCAGTGCTTGTCCCCAGCACTGTCCTCTAGCCCATGTCTGCTGTACAGCGAGAAGCTGGGCTGGTGGTCTCCTCTCTCCAACCCATGTTCTATAAAAGGGGACACTCTCTGGGCAGTGATTTGGGGGATGGGGAGTGTCCGTGGATGAGATGAAGCTCCCAGATGGCACCACTGGAGAGCAGGCCCCGGACCGGGCACAGGTGGACCACAGCTACATCTCTTTCTGATGGCATCTCAGGGGAATGGGTGCAAGTGGCTGTTACCCAGGTGCTTTGCTCTCTGGCGCTGCCTGGACCTGTCAGATAGTGGCCGTAGGAGAAAACTGCCAGAGGGTAAAGGAGTGGGTGTAGTAGGGATGGAAGCACAGGGACTGGGCAAGGGAGGAGGCTGGTTTCAGCATGGTTTCATCTCACAGGAGATGCTGCTCCCTAGGAACTCCCCCTCTCTTTTCTTCATTTTGCAGGTGGAAAAAAAAAATCTGTTTGGGAGCTTACAAATCATTTTCTTTCAAAAGCTCTACACTCCACCACAGTGCATGGCCCAGGTACTACAGCAAGGAACACTTTGAAAACAGAAAATCTACCTGCTCATACACAAAATACTTCTTGGCATGGCTGCTTTGGAACAACCTGCCTCTAATTGGCCCAGGCCCCCAGCTGAACGGATCAGACATGCTTGCAGCAGGCCAGAGCATCTTCAGGGAAGGCAGTGGGAAGCCCAGACAAAAAAAAATCAGGCCCCTGCTTGCCACTGGAGAACTAGGGAAGGAGACGGGTCATTTAGCACCCGCATTCGTCTGGGGACCTGCTGGTCGCAAGGGACCGCAGAGCTCCAGTACTTGGGGCAGGCACTGGCACAGCGTAAGCTGGCTGTGGCTTGGCTCAGTGGTCAGAAGAGTCTTGCAGATCTGATGATCTCCTCTTGGTCCTGCATATCTTTGCTGACTCGTGAGGGTGCTCAGATGCCACTCAGTCATGCCGATTGCATGATCTGGTGCCTTCAAACCATTTCTGTGGCAGCTACTGATTAGAGCAATTAAAAAGAGCTTCTACAAATGATTAGAATGGCTTTTGCAAACCCCAGCAACTTCCATCTGCTGGTCTGCACTGGCAGCACCCCCGTGAGAACTGGGACCCTCTGTCCCAGTCTCCTTTCCCTGAGGCATCCCTCTTCACTCGGGCTGACGTCCTTTTTGACCTCAGGCTAGAGGATAACCCTTGTGGGCTTCCAACAAAAGGGGCAGGAGTGCCTCCAAATGCTGTATCTCCATCATTATTTCCAGGCCTGCTGGCAACTTCTTTCCTGCAGGAAAACTACTCGAGTGGCTCAGCTGGCTGGGGAGCCAAACTCCTTGGGATCAGTGATGTCACAGAATCACAGAATCACAGAATCGTTTAGGTTGGATGGGACCTCTGGAGATCATCTAGTCCAACCTCCCTGCTCAAGCAGGGTCACCTAGAGCAGATTGCCCAGGATCGCATCCAGACGGGTTTTGAATATCTCCAGCGAAGGAGACTCCACTACCTCTCTGGGCAACCTGTTCCAATGCTCTGTCACCCTCACAGTGAAGAAGTTTTTTCTCAGGTTCAGATGGAACTTCCTGTGGTTCAATTTCTGCCCATTGCCTCTTGTCCTGTTGCTGGGCACCACGGAGAAGAGGCTGGCCTCATCCTCTTGATACCCTCCCTTCATATACTTGTACACAATGCTCAGATCACCTCTCAGTCTTCTCTTCTCCAGGATAAACAGGCCCAGCTCTCTCAGCCTTTCTTCAGAGGAGAGGTGCTCCAGCCCTCTAATCATCTTGGTAGCCCTCCGCTGGACTCTCTCCAGGAGTGCC